AAGGGAAATTAAAGACAGTTAATAAATTTGATGAACAATTTATTATGACCTATTATGACTATGACAAGGTCATAATAAATTGTTCATCAAATTTATTAACTGTCTTTAATTTCCCTTTGAAACTCATATATATTTATATATATATATGTTACCGTCAAAGCCTTTAATACATCGATCTTTAATTTTAACGAAATAATAAACAACGTGATTGCACCACTTTCATAAATAAAACGATTCCAAATATTGTATAAATATTTAATTTGTATAAACGTTAAAAAGATAATGGAAATTTATTAAAAATAAATGTTTTCTTCATTATGTCGGACAGATTCTTTCCAAGCATAAAGAGCATAACAGAATTGTCCCAATCGAGCAACATGCGTTTCATGCAGTTTCGGGCACATGACAAATATGCTCTTCATCTCAGCAAAATGGAAAAGGTACTCCTCAGTGCTACTTCCGGTGACAACTACCACAATGAGCCTCCGATGGGCTCTCCGGTAACACGATATCACTCACTCTCTGACCTCTGATTGATAATTGATTGAATTATTGTTGGATTGACCGATCCATTGATTGTGAAAGATTTATCCTAATTTTTCTTTTTTTTTTATCACTGATCATTAACACAGCCCGTACTCATCGTTCTCGTATAGAAAATGAAAACGAAAAGAAAAAGTCATTTTTTTAATTAAAATTTCACATTTTTTTTGTTTTCCTTCATTATATTACCCATTACGTTTATAATTAAAGTGTTCGAACTATTAACGGTGTGCAATTTTAATACATAATTACTCGCTAAAAAGAAAAAAAAATATAAATTGACAGTAATCCGCGCGTAAGTTTCATTCGTTATCGTAACGTAAGGTACAAAAAAAAAAGAAAGGATGAAAATTATTTTTGCGTTAAACATTTATGCAACAAAACAAAAAAGTAATAATAAAAAGAAAAAAAAAAAAAAAAAATGTAATTAGCTGCCGGTGCTGCTCTATAGAAGCGAAAATGGTTTTACCTCGAAGTGCTCTCTTTTAAACACTTTCTTTTTGCACACTTTCGCTTAAAATATTTTCCTGACCTATTTTCTATTTTTTTTTTTTCTTCTTCTTTTACTTTTACTGTATATCAGGCATAAATTGTATTTTCTCTTTCGGGGAGAAAAGTTACGAAAAAAGAAAGAAGAAATTTAATTCCGAATTTGTGTGTGTGATTCGATCGGATTAGGATGCATCCGTTTAAACGAAAACGATGAGAACGTGTTAAAAATCCTTTTTTTTTTTTTTATTATATTGGCAGTGCTAGTTAGAGCATCGCTGATAGATAGTTTGCTAGATAATTTATATTTAGAAAGCATAATTGTTAAGGTCTTAACGCACTAGTCGCAAAGGTCAGATTCCTTAAAAAGAAAAAAAAAAAAGAAAAAAAATATCCATTGAACAAAACATTTGAAAAAGAAAAAAAAAATACGTGATTAGTGCCTCGAGATCATTAGAATGCTTGGTAGTTTTCTCGCAAGTGGTATTATACTTGTTTAGATATAAAAAGCATGATACATTGCATCGAATATGTGTGTGTCATATATATATATTACTATATATTATAATACTTATTTATTATGATATTATACGATGAGTTTATTACGAATCTATGCTCCGATCTTTCCAATACGAATTTTGATCGAGCGTACTAATTTTATCAACCAAAAACGTGTGTTAATACTCTCACGTTTCTTATTAATAAGTTATTATTATTATTATTCTTATTAGTATTAAGTATCCGTAAAGTGTTTTAAGATTTAACGTAGTTACGCTTAACGTGAATTTAATTTAACGCGATATGAAATGAATTTATTATCTTCCAACGAGATAGAAAAACAAAAACAAATTAATGAAATAAACAAAAGTTAAGTAAAAAAATAGAAAAAATGCATTAAGAAACAAAAAAAACGAATGATAATGCACGTGGGGGGGGGGGAAGCAACGAACATATCAGTTTTTTTAGAAAATTTGATGGCCCGTAGAGAGTAAAACAAATGGATGATAAAAAGTTATCGATCAATTGTTGGAACGTATTTGTAATTATTACAAGAACGGTAATGAAAAAAAAAAAACAAGAAAAAAAAAACCAAATCATGGTGTATATATATTTTAAACAGAGAGAAAAGGAGAGGGGATCCCATATATCGTACATGTTTCGATTACCATTTGCCGCTGGGAGCGTATTCAGTGCGTCCATGCTCGACACCCTGTTGTATCAAGCCTTTGTCAAGGATTATGTAATAACATTTGTGAGATTGTTGCTCGGAGTCGATCAAGCACCTGGATCTGGATTTCTCACGTCGGTAGGTATCAACAAAATGAATGAATTATCGATTCGAATAGATTTTTTAACCCTTTCGTTATTGGCGCCGATTATAATCGGCATCCATGTGAAAACTCGCTTACACGAACGAATGAAAACGAAATTTTATTTGTGATTCGTATAATATCTTTTAAATTTTATTGACTGTGTATTAATATATCGAATTAATTCTATTAAAAAAGAAACAAGTATATATATTTTTGTTTAATCTAAGTAATATATTACTTAACGTCAAAATAAATGTCAATCCGAAATTATTCAGATTTGAATAAAGTGTCGCACAACGAAAGGATTACAACATTGATAATTAAAACTCCAATGTAAATCCTAAGCATATTTTTATACAGATGAGAATAACGAAGGACGACATGTGGATACGAACTTATGGCAGACTTTATCAAAAACTTTGTTCGACTACTTGCGAAATTCCTATTGGGATTTACAGAACGCAGGATACAACAGTATCGGATACTTCGCACGTGAGTAAAACAAACAAATCATTTTCCTTTTAACCCTTTTTTAGGATATAGAAAAGTTGATAGAATTTTATATAGTTATGTTGGATGGTACGTTGTGTAACCATTCGAAGAATATTAGAAAAATTTGTTAAATGGTAAACTGTGAGTAAAGCATGATCGTGCTCTCGTTCTCTTTTTCTATCTATCTTTCTCTCTCTATCTCTATCTCTCTCTCATTCTCCCGATTTAATCCCGATTCTATCTATCACCCGTTTTCTTGTTTTATGCAATTTTCCGAAAAGATTAATCAACAGAAAGAAAAATAACATAAAATGTTACAATGTTAGAAATGTGCGTTATTGCAATATAATGCGATTGTAACCTCGCATTTTGATTCGAAGCACGTTCTCCGAATTGTCCAACCTGATTCATTCATTCTTTTCCTTTTTTTTTTCCTTCATTTATTATTATTATTATTATTTTTATTTTTATTATTATTATTATTATTATTATTATTATTATTATTAACGAAACCCTGCATCGTGTTTTAGAAACTAGTAGTATGCTTTCTTCTGTCGATAGATATATATATATTGTTTATTTTCTGCATTGATATTAGCGGAACGGATAACGTCGAACTACGGCAGAGTCTCGATTTAGTTGTAAAGCTTTGAAGATTAAACAAAAAAAAAGCACAGATATATCGTTATTCAAGGATAGGGGCGCGCACGATCTCAATAAAACGTAGATATGTCATAGTTTACTTATGATACAATAATTTGATCTAACACACGAGCTTTATAATGTATTAATTAAACGGTAGCAAAAATAATAATAATATAATTTTAAGTGTGTAAAAAAAAAAGAAAAGAAAATATGCATTAGGGATATCAAATTAAATAATTAATCTAACGGATCGGAGAATGAAATGAATTGAGAACAAATTAGATAATAAATTATATAATTGCAAAAGAAAAATAAGAGAGAGAAAATGTGTGAAAAAGAAAATTTAAAAAAAAAAAAAATACAACGGAGGTAGAATAATAGGATTGAACAGGGCCAAAGAAAGATGAGGAATTGTATAGGCCCAAAAAGTTTAACGATGGGGTAATCGTTTTTGTTCAGTTAAGAGTAGTCTTGTTGCTTGTCATTTTGACAGGGCGACTCAGACGCAGAGAGCGACGCCGGCGTCGGTGTGACGTACAAGGTACGCCATTCGGCGGCTGCATCGTGCCTTGCAAATTGTTCAACCCGTGACAAGGGTACCTCAGCCGTGAGTACAGTGTCGAGAAATTGCCTGTTCGCTGTTCTTTGTTCCTTTAAATAAATTATCTATTCTTCAATCTGATCTTACATTAAACAAAATTTTTACGATATTCGTTTTTGAATTTTTCTTATTTGTTTTTTTTTTTTTGTCGTTGCACTCTATCTCTCTGTCTGTCTGTCACTTTTTTGACACCACACTGTCATCGTCTTTTACTATTATTTCTCTTAATATTGCATATCTCTAATAGTGATCTATTTTTTCTCTTCTTATTCTTATTCTAATTATTATTATTATTATTTATTTGTTGTATTTGTTTGAAATAATTTGTCCTCGTACAACAGCAAGCAACTCTTTGTCTCACTTTGTCGCTCTGTCTGTCTCTCTGTCTGTCTGTCTGTCTGTCTTGTTACCTTTACGTATTATTCATGGTGCACAGTAAATGGGGTGTGCATGTACAAAGTCGCTTTAGAATCTAATTCGCATTGCAAATGATTAAAGTTTGTTTTAACATTGGTATAACATAGGAACGGTAATCGATGAAGCAATGGGGGCAACGTCGATTACCGTCAACGTGTCTCGCACGATACACTTATTTTCAATTATCTCGTTTATAATACGTACAAAAAATAATCACAAAAATAATAATAATAATAATAAAAATGAATTGATAATCCTTTTTGTTTTTCTGTTTTTTTTTTTTTTCGGAAATTAGTATTCGGTGAGTCTCGGGGACGAGGCACGGGACAACCACGCTCAACAAATCGAGAGGGCAGAAATTGCAAACCTGGTGCGTTCGCGAATGGAATCATTGAATCTACCTGTAGCGGATTACGACGACGTATCGGAGAAACGTAACAGCCTGTCTTACGTAATCATCAATCCTAGTTGCGATTTGAAATTGGAGGAAGGGGACATAGTCTATCTCGTTAGGCCGAGCCCATTTTCGGCACAGAAGACCTTCGAGCGTCACAATTCAAGGCGTAAGAGCAACATCAGCTTCTGCTCGGCACAATTAGTCTCGCAGATGAATGCAGCGGTCGCCTCGGCTGGATTTCCCGGTGGTGGCCCGGGTAGCCGTCGAGGTTCGGCCATTGGCTTGGCCAGACCACCCCCGTTAGGTACCACAAAATCGAACTCTTTGTCTCTTCCCGACAGTCCTACAGTAGCCGGTACACTACGGGGCCGTTCCAATTCCCTGAGAGTCGTCGATGATATCCTGTTAAGACGTAGCAATTCATTGAGACAAGGACTCACGGTTTCGAGGAGGAAAAGCAGCCTGGAGGACATAGGACTGGGTGCTCTACCACATCCCACCAATCACAATCCTATAAAGATTGCGCTCAACGGATCTATCGGTTTGGAAGTTACCCCACCCGAGGAAGGTTCTTTAGGGGGTGGAGGTGGTGCCAGCAATACAGGAATACTCGATGTCGGTCTCCCATCAATGCCGAGTATTGGTCTTGGATTCGGACCCTCGTTAGGGCCAGGATTGTGCAGTTCCTTGGGTGGTCTGTACGATCCCTCGACCCTACAAAGTCCCATGGTGCAATCACCCCAATCACCGCAAATTCAAGCGCCCACGCAGGATCCACAGCACATACAGGGGACGATAGTATGATATAATCTTATGTGGGGACGCAGACTATCCGGCGTAGTGCGAAACAAATGGCTCTAGCGTTTCCCACATTAGTTATTAGAAATTACCTACGTCGTTTTAACGAACGTAGCGTGCTTCCCCGTAATCATCAACCGGTGGAAACCCCATCACCCGTTTCAACCCACCCCGCCATCCCAATGCACACGAATTCGTGCATGGAATTCCAATGGAAAACGTGCAAAACCGCATAATTGCGACCTTTTACATCGTTTATCCATAATCCGAATAGAACTTATTGTTAAACGAGATCCAAGAGAGAGTAAAAGATGATACTACACTCTTATATATGATGCAGCAGTAATATATATATATATATATTTCCTAACAGTTTTACTCGTAACGATTTACACAAACTGTGATATATTATTATACTTTCATATGCGTTATATTAATCTCGTTACGATTTTCTTTTTCAATTTCGATTCGTTTGATTGCTATTTCTTTCTTTTTTTCTTCTTTTTCCTTTCTTTAATTTATTAACGAGAATAATTTTAAACAACAGCAACAACAAGAAAAAAAAAACACGAAAGTATTACGACGAAAGAATATAAACATTTTAATCTTTTCGTTGAATAATTAATATCTATGTGTTCAACATGATATATGTATACATAATTGTCCGAAAAAAAAAATACTTTTCTGAACGATTTACTACTGTCATCATTACAAACAAGTCGTTCGCTTAGCAAACACATGATTGATGAAACGAGATAGATTTTTTCGTCAATCATAAATGGGGGGAGGGGTTGAACGTTGTGACATGTTGAAAACAAATGATACATACATAATGTCAGATTCCTAACCAGAAAGAACCAACAAATATTAAAACACGTGGATATATATATATACATATATATATCTATTAATCATTTGAAAAATCTAAATAATATCGCGTCTTTCGATCGGTGACAAATATCTAATTTGGAATTTTTGTTCTTTTTGTATTATGGAGACTGCGAAAGTAAAGCATTAGAAAAAAAAAAAAAGAACTGCGGATATTTCGATAGGATCGTTAATAATAATTATTACGAGTGATTTATAATTCTTTCCAATTACGAGAGACTATAA